AATTCGCCACTTCGTGGATAGCACTGGGTTCGGGAGTGAGCGACATTTGTCGTTTATTCTTCAAGCAACCACCGAAAGTACGTGGTGCGTGCGGAGCAGAAAAATTTAATAGTGTTAAGTAATTTATTAAGTTTACATTCACAAAATGAGGGAAATCGTGCATATTCAAGCTGGACAGTGCGGCAACCAGATCGGAGCTAAGGTAATTAGCCATTCTTCTGTTTTTATTAACGTTCGAATTCCGAACACCGGGAATTTGCGGGCGGCCGGCATTTTGTTTCACATCGACGAATGGTAATTAATAATAAGTATTATCATGTCGCAAATTCCGCGCTTATTCTTTTAAAGTTGATGTTTTTAGTTGTATTTTATTGTAGTGTCGTAATTAAAGTGATTTTCACTAAAATAATGGGTGTGGCTTACTCACCTGGCACCTACCTAGGGTACATCTTGCCTCTTTGTTCGCGTATTTTCACTGTAATTTCGCGTCGTTACTTGAAAATATGGGCAGGAAACATGAAAATAGGTTGTTCTCCTTACTTAACTTTGTAGAAGCATTGATCTCAAGTAGTTACCTAAGACAGCGGCAGCGACCCTTGTTCCTACGTGTTTTTTTCTCATTCGTTGCTCTCTGCGTCCGCTACATCACGTTTAATAGCGTCATTTACACATTTTTGACGAAAATTCTGACATGTCGTCGACGTGGAGCCCGTTTTGATCTTGTTTCATAAAATTTTTATATCTTTTAATAAAATATCAAGCTTTTTTCCATTTTGTTATCTAATGTGTGTAAACTATTATTTGTAGCAGAATATCTTTTATTAGCTCATAAAAAAGTCTTTTATTAGCTTATCAATAAAACCACATTGATAAACTTGTGAGATAAGCAAGGAAATGTCACCTTTCTAGCAAAGTTATATGATCATAGGAATATTTTCCCGCGTTAAAATTCCGTTACTCTAGGAAGGGCGAAACGCTTTTTGAACTCCCCAAGGCTAGTTGCCGCGTCCCGTGATAAGGGCGACCAATCACAGGGCGAAGTTCGTAACGTTCGAAATTTGATCATGGTTTTAAAATAACGGCCATATGTTGCTGGCCACTTTATTTTTAACGTGTGATTTCATTTTATTCGTGACATGGATGATACACACTTTCGAAAAATATTGTGATCGACTGACTGCCTAATTACAAAACTTACTTATTTAGTAGGTACCTATAAGTAGGTATATAGGTAGAAGGTCACTTAAGTGACAGAACTACCTCCTTACCTACACTTCTTACCTTGATATGTCAATATGCCTGTAAAGCTTCCAAACAAGTTATATATGTACATTACGGTATATACAGCCCATAATGTATGTGTGTCGTATGTTGAACAAAGAATGGGGACATTGCCCTTTTATAGAAAACATTACGAAACGTTTATTTCTCTCGATGCTTTTCGAATCGGCAAGGCTTACCATAACATTTTCGTGACTCAACGTCGTGTTCTCACTGCCTCCCACGAAGTTAAAACAAGTTTTACTTACTTGAATGCAGCTTTACTTTCGTAGAAATACATACTATCTCTGTTGTCTAAAGTGGTCCTTATGAAAACTATTATTCCCAACATCAACTCAAACACTCGACAAGAAACAACATTCATGTACCTAGTTAGAATACTTTTTTTTAAATTTATAAGCATTAGTAAAGTACATTATAAATGCATTACAATCTAGTCAAATACAAGACTAATAAGTAATTTACATTTCACTTAAACTAATAAATAAACAAATTATGCTTAAGAATTCACCCACTGGCAATTTTCTTATTATCTATTAAGGCGAAGACACTTTTATCGTGCGTTCTTTTTATTCAGTGTCACTGGCACTCTTTAGTTTAATCATACACTAACACTACACTAGTTCAAATGGTTTTGTCCGTTTTAAACGTCTTATAATGTCTGTGTCGTCAAGGAGCTGAATGGCCTGGGCGTTCACGTGATGGTGAAGCCTGCGTTGGTAGGCTTCGGCGTACTTCTGAGCTATCTTGTCTAAGAATTCCATTTACAAGTCTCGTTGGAGGTCTTTGTTGGATAATATTTATGTTGGTGTTTGCGATGCAGCCCCAGAGCTGTATACCATAGGTCCAGACTGGCATTAGGAACTGCCTATACAATAGTAGTTTATTGCTTAAAGATAGCGTAGAATGTCTGCCAAACAGCCAATACATATTTCTGTAACGAATGTCTAGTTCTTTTCGTTTTTTCTTGACATGGGCTTTCCAGTGAAGCTTGATGTCAAGTGTCATGCCAAGATATTTAGCAGTATTCTCATATGGTATTTGTTTGTTGTTGACAAATACCGGGTGATATATAGGTTTCTTATAGCTAAAGTCTATATGCGCTGACTTTGATTCGTTAAGCTTAATGCACCATATTTTAGTCCATTCGTAGAATACGTTCAAAGATTGCTGTACTTTTTCAGGAATATAATACAAATACTGTTTTGCACACAGGGATAAATACGTAAATCAGTAGAGTACTAAAAAAACCGACTTCAAAAGTCAATTCATGTCCTGGTTTGCCAACATTAAGAGGTAAAATATTTTGTTCAAATTTGAACGGGACCACTATTGACGTACCTTCTTTCCAACAAAAAAAAGAATCATCAAAATCGGTTCACAACAGCCGGAGTTATCGCGTAACATACATACAAAAAATACTCGAAAGTCGGTTAAATAATCTCAGTACAGAGTACTAAAAAAACCGACCTCAAAGGTACGTGGAATTACGTCTATTTGCCAAGTTTTATTGAAATATCCCCTAGTTCGCCACTATACGGGACTTGACAATGGAGATAATAAAAATCTGTTTTCACTACTCAAAGTAAATTGAGAGAGAAAAACACCTTCAATTATAGAATAGCAAAATCAACCATTAAAATAATTGTTCCTTATAATAAAATTTAGGCGCTATTTATAAAAATGAATCTTCATGCATGAACAGCCACCCTCAGTGGTGGATGATTTTCTTTAGAATGAAATGGGACGACTATGGAGGTACCCTCTTTCCAACAAAAAAAGAATCATATAAATCGGTTCACAAATACCGGAGTTATCGCGTAACATACATACAAAAAAGTATGTTTTTTTTTAAAGTCTGTTAAAAACAAACAAGACAAGGTGCAACAGACAGCCTTATTGTAACAGTATTGTTAGATTGCAACCTCTTCCAAACAACTGCGACTGTAAATAATAATCGGAAGGTGCATTAAATGCTCGTTATCTATAAATGAATCTAATACCTATATTTGAGACCTCAGAGGCCCGACGGTTTGCTCTGTAGGTGTTAGTTAAGGTTAAGGTTCGGTTCCCGGGAGGACCAATTTAGGAAATGGATTTTTTAATAAATTAGTACTGGTCTGGGTGCTCTGGCTAATAATGCTTCAGAGTGAACTCCGTTGCTCTGATTCGGGGACCCAATTTCACCAACTTAATTTCACCCTAACATAACTACCAAATGGGTGTTATTTCCGTTGTTTCGTTTCTTGAATAGATTAATATCACATGCATGAATTTATGAAGCTAATTATTCAGCAAAAAAGTAAATTAGGAAGAATGTTGTTTATACAATAGGAAGCAAGAGCACGAACTGGCGCAAAAGCTAAATAGCGTTAGGTATGGGTCAACGACCTCCCCTTCCGCGTGCGTTAAAATGTACTGAAATAGAAGGCGAAACGCTGGTTTATAGGCGGCGTCATAGGATTGTAACATACAAAGTGAAGATTTCAACACCTCTACTAAGAAGCACAAACTTTGTAGTTTTCAGGACGCACATAAAATCGTGTTAACACATTGTAAAACGCCTATTTTCAACTTAATACTTCGAAGTTTCTGGCTACTGTACTAATATTGTAAACAAGATATTCGGGGAAATCTAAAAATGGACCAAATCCATTACGTCGATTTTTTTTGCCATTAAAGATCGTCGCATGTACTGTAAAAAACTTCTATTATCGCAAGTTTCTCGATATTGATAATTAGTGAGTCATCTTCAATTATATTTCTTGGAAGAGCTGCCTTTAACACAATTCATCAAAATCTTAACTTTGATATAAAAAGAAATAAGACCACATCGTTCTTCTTTTGAGTACGTATCTAATTTTGATCAAATTATGTATAGATTTTTTTTGTTATTTAGTGCCAATTTAGTTCCATGTATGAGTTATAATAAAAGATAGGAATCGGCGTACATAACACATAGAGTTTAATATCGCCTTCTAAAATCCCGTAATGATTTGAAAGGCAAAGATCAGGCTTACTACAATAGCGGCCTGTCTCAAAAGTACATGTTTATACAAAGCTGACACATGTCTGCCGCTCGAAATTGTCCCTTTGCTTATATTTACAATAAAATTTAGCATTTTTTAAATAAATGTCACTAATAAATGAAAAGGAACTAAGAATTGGACCACTATTTTTGAATAGCAGCTATATGTAAAAAATATAGAACAAAATATACAATAATTCGCTGATTTAGAGGGAGGTATTATCCCCTATGTATTTCGTTCATAGTCTATATTTGCCTATTTGAGGGTCGTATTCCAGAACTCTACTCAATGCTCAAGTCAAGATTTGAGTATGGTTTAAAGCACTCGATATCGTACTCAAGTCCCTGCTATTAGGGTCGTAGTAGTAGGGTCGTATTTCCAGTGCTTGTGTTTCCAGTGCAATCCTGACTTGAGCATTGAATAGAGTTCTAGAATACGACCTTGAAAGCACTATACATTATACTTAAGTCTTTGCGTTTAGGGTCGTATTTCCAGTGCTTGAAATCATACTCAAATCCTGACTTGAGCAATAAGTAGAGTTCTGGAATATGACCCTGAATCAGCAAGTGAGCATATTTGTGAACAAAAATTTTCATCATACGAGTATCACAACAAAATAATTTTCTCCATACAAAAACTCATAGAATTGTTTTATTTTTGCAAAGCTGTTTATCCCGACCACGAATCACCACGTGAAATATGACTGCATTTCGTTACATCCTGCGTTGTTTCATTATTGCCTCATAATTACATACTTAAAATGTTTGAACAGTCTGATCATAGTACAAAAACCTTTGTTACCGTCCTCAAGGTCAGTCTCACTGCATCGGCCCTGCTTTTGTTACTTAAAGTTAAGCTTTAACCGACTTACAAAAATAGAGGTTCTCAATTCGACTGGTTTTTTAAAATTTTATATATGTTACGCGATACCTCCTAATTTGTGAACTGATTTTGAAGATTCTTTTTTTGTTGGAAATAGGGCACCCCAGTAGTGGTCTCATTTAAATTTGAAGAAAATATTCCACCTCTAAGGGTGGCAAACTAGGGGATGAATGACTTTTGAGGACGGTTTTATTAGTACTCTGTACTGCGCTTATTTTCAGTCCAATGTAGTAGTAGTCTTTTTTTAATCAGACTAATGAAAATAATATAGTTATTTAAATGCTGATATTTGATAGTATTTAAATTAATGGCATCTGGGTTTCAACAATACTAGTTTTTCTCGTGTGGGGTAAAAGGAATAAATAATTCCGTTCTTAGCGCAATCGATATAGTGTTGGATTTAAATACTTGACGCTGCACAAATACAGGTTAGGTTCTTTATTTTATTTGACGACCTCCGTGCTCGAGTGGCTCGCCCACCGGTTTTCATAGTGTCGCAATCTCTGAGGTCCCGGGTTCGAACCCCAGCCGGGGAAATTTAGAAACTTCTGTGCTGTCTCGGGTCTGGGCGTTTTTAGTACTGTCGTTGTTTCATATTTCCATAACGCAAGTGGTTTAGTTACGCATGGACCAGAGCAACGTATGTGATATTATCTAATATTTATTTATACATTTCGTTTACTATATGAAGAGGTCTGTCTCCTACCCATAATATCCTTCTGCTTCCACGTCGAGCTGCTTAATTAATTTCCACCACGATTTGCACGACTTTCATCTAACCAATAGATTTTTATCTACGCAAGCATGACTCGCCTTGTAAATTCTGTAGCATTTTCCGTTAATTGGATCATAATGTCTTAAACCAATTAGTTTGTAGTTAATTATTCTAAAAAATGGCCTGTCTTGATCGCCAATCTTTGCTTTGGCGATTGGCGATCTTGTTTGCTTGAAGTAGGTGCCCAAATTTTTCAGTTAAATAATAATTGGGTAATTGTTCCGTTAAATTAAATAAGTGGTGTCTGTTTCATTACTAAAGCTAATTTCGTTATCCAAACCCGAGACACTAGTCCAAACTTTAAAATAACATTTTTATCGACTACTAACTAGACTTGGTGCTACTAGACTTTTTTGTTTCTATACAACTTAGATATAACAAAAATTTTATATTTTTTGCTTGACTAAAAAAATAAACTACACCAAAATCACCTCGCGTCGTATTTCTAAGTGTCGTGACTACCCCGCCGAAACAGTTTCTGATTGACAACGCTGTGCCGTCAGTGGCGGTCTTTGACATGATCGAGACTCATGCCGAGAGTCGTACAAACTTGGTCGTACCATCTTGTAGGACAGCGACCCCTCTAATGTTTACCGTCGATCGATGCCAAAATATTTTGTATAAAAACACGCCTAATGGTTAATACAGTATCTCGTTTCAGGGTTTCGGATTTCCCCCTACAGTCCCACTTAAAAAACATTATACCTTGTACACCTTTGCTAATATATTTTTATTAACTTGCGCCTGGATTGTGCTGAAATGTACAGTGCTATATCAATCCTGTATTTTTATCTGCATACCAAATAAAATCTTCATCGTGTCTGAGCATAACTGCATTTCTCAAATTGAACACGTCACTTCCAAGACGTTTCATTCTCAATAAAGTTTAGGTAAAAGCTGTATTTCGTTTTGTTATTTGGCATCTCTCCAAAATAAGACAATCCAAATCCGTTGATGATATCAAAGACAGACTAAATGAAGCTTATTTTTCTAACTAATGCCACTGGAGTATAGGGTGATATGGAACCGTCTCGTTAGTAAGAATGCACTAATACCTTATAAACACAATCCATGAGGCAAATTAATGTTCAAATAAACTTCGAATGAAAAGCAACTAAAACTATATACAATGTTTTATAATAAAACTTACAAGAAAAACATGGAACAAGCTTCACACATCGAAGTCAGTGAGCAATTTGTTTTAGTTGTTTTTATATGGAACCGCATCGCATTGCGCTAGGTGGTGTCTACTAAGCTTCAGTATTATTATATATTATTGCTGAAGATGGAATTACCCGAAGGCACTAGAAAAGCTAAATATTGTAATACAATGAGAAAGAATGTTTTTAATCATATACCTCTTTCCAAGGATCTGGTCCAGTGTTTAGGCCATTAAACCGCGCTTCAATGAAGACGCACTGAGTAAAATCTCGCGTGTCTACCAGCAAGGCGCTAGATCAACGTTGAGATGAAGACATTGCAGCTCCTTTGTTGTTATGTCCACCTCTACAACGTACAGTTAAAGCAAATAAAAATATCAAAATCCGAATATTAACCTAAAATGTGCATAACTACCACCGTTATTTGCAACTCTTTAAATTTTAAATACATATAATTTTATTAACTGAACACTGTTTCCTAAGACAGACATTTGTCTAGTTTAGGAGCCAGTCCTTAGATTTCTTACGCCTTTTCTACCTGTTTGTTTTATTTTGTTTTGGATACATTTCGAACCTGTAAATTTCTTGTCTGTGCTATATAGATAAGGCTAAGAAGGTGTGTTTTTGAATAAAGATATAGTTATTATTATTACTCTACAGATTGTGACATAACAAATTGTAAATAAACCAAAGTCATTTATTTGTAGCGAAATTGAATCACGAAAATACGATATAAAATTCACATGAAATCGCATTTCTTATTCACCATTCCGTTACTCATCTCTTAGTTCGCTCAGGTTTTCTCATTTCGTAAAAATATTTTAGGGGTGGCACGACCCAACGTCCCTCGTTACAGCGCGCCCCTCATTTTATAACTATGACTCACCAACTGACTCACACCCAACAGACTGGCCTTGGGAATCAATTAGGGCCTGTGGGGGCCCTTCTAAGGTGTCCCATTGCAATTATTATAATGTGCCCGATAATAGAAGTATTCAATTAATTCTAATTAACACCGAGGAATCGTTATAAAGATATCCATCTCATGCTTTTCTGTTACAATAGAGACACCTTTCTAACTTTCAATTAGCTCAGAATATAGTAAATCGGTTTCTAATCTTCCTATCATCTTCACTGTGGATGACTTGGAACATTTATCGATATTATCGCTTGAGTTTTTTTTAATTCGTCTAGATGATTGATTCGCGATACTATCTTCGTGAGCTTATGTTAATGAATGACTCAGTATATTGTACATGGCGTTGTACTCATTTTGTCCCAAAAACGTCAAGTAATCTTGTCGCCGCGCCTCGCAGCCCCGACCTGACTTCATTTATGGCGCGGCCGCGATCGTAATAAGAAACTTGCTCGGCGCTCTCTTCTTAAAAGGAGTTTATATAAAGTATTGGAAAGTTAATGGCCGATATTATACTTACTTGAATAGTAATATACTTGTTTATTTTGTATTATCGATTGCACCAGTACGATCGTGAAGTAGAACGACCTCGTAAATATGGAAATACGGCGGTGACGCCTTTGGCGGCGACTGCGTGTTTCCAACCACGTCGCTAGGCAACGGTGAGTCATCCGGCCGCACGCGGTGCCAGCCGCCGCTGCTGTCGTTCCCGGTCTCCCCTGTCGTAAATTGGGAATACATACTTCCGAAATAAGACACTCGGTTCCGCGTCCAAAATAGCCCGCCTTTCACGTAAGGAGGACATCTGCACTACAAATAGCTAAATTAACGATCAATTTCTTTTGTTACAGTTCTGGGAGATCATCTCTGATGAACACGGCATTGATCCCACCGGCGCCTACCATGGCGACTCTGACTTGCAGCTGGAGCGCATCAACGTCTACTACAATGAGGCCTCCGGCGGCAAATACGTCCCCAGAGCCATCCTTGTGGACCTCGAGCCAGGCACCATGGACTCTGTCCGCTCGGGACCCTTCGGACAGATTTTCCGCCCCGACAATTTTGTCTTCGGACAATCTGGAGCCGGTAACAACTGGGCTAAGGGGCACTACACCGAGGGCGCCGAACTAGTCGATTCAGTCTTAGATGTTGTTCGCAAGGAGGCAGAGTCATGCGATTGCCTCCAGGGATTCCAACTCACACACTCGCTCGGTGGCGGCACCGGATCCGGCATGGGCACACTTCTCATTTCTAAAATCAGAGAGGAGTACCCCGACAGAATTATGAACACATACTCCGTTGTACCCTCCCCCAAAGTATCAGACACAGTAGTCGAACCTTACAATGCCACACTCTCAGTCCATCAGCTAGTCGAAAACACCGATGAAACCTATTGTATTGACAACGAGGCTTTATACGACATCTGCTTCCGCACGCTCAAATTATCCACACCCACGTACGGCGACCTGAACCACCTCGTGTCGCTCACTATGTCCGGCGTCACTACCTGCCTGCGATTCCCCGGTCAACTGAATGCGGATCTCCGTAAACTGGCCGTCAACATGGTTCCCTTCCCGCGACTTCACTTCTTCATGCCCGGTTTCGCGCCACTCACATCCCGCGGCAGCCAGCAGTACCGTGCACTCACCGTACCCGAACTCACCCAGCAGATGTTCGACGCCAAGAACATGATGGCAGCATGCGACCCGCGCCACGGCCGCTACCTGACCGTTGCCGCCATCTTCCGTGGTCGCATGTCCATGAAGGAGGTCGACGAACAGATGCTTAACATCCAAAACAAGAACTCCTCTTACTTTGTGGAATGGATTCCGAACAACGTGAAGACCGCCGTGTGCGATATCCCGCCGCGTGGCCTCAAGATGGCCGCCACCTTCATCGGCAACTCTACTGCTATCCAGGAGCTGTTCAAGCGCATCTCAGAACAGTTCACCGCTATGTTCAGGCGCAAGGCTTTCTTGCATTGGTACACCGGCGAGGGCATGGACGAGATGGAGTTCACCGAGGCCGAAAGCAACATGAACGACTTGGTATCCGAGTACCAGCAGTACCAGGAGGCCACCGCCGACGAGGATGCGGAGTTCGATGAGGAGCAAGAGCAAGAAATCGAGGACAATTAACCACCCAAATTTATCTCTGACGTCACACTGACCAACGCGTCCTGGCTCTCAGGTCGCCAGCATTTAGCTTCTTAGTACTTTGTTACATAAAAATTTCTGACATAATTGCGTTTCAAACCCCTGGGCGGCCCATAGACGTTGATGTTCGGTAGCATGAATTGCGTTTACATTCCCAGTGTTTTCCTTGAGAAGGGCGCTCTCGGATGTTTATTGGCATAAACAGACCATCACAAGACGCGCGATCCCTTCGACCGACCATCCACGGTGCTCAACACTGATATGACACAAAGGAAAAGATCTTTTTTTGATAAGGCTGAACTTAATTTTTTTTATAACCTTAAGTTTTAATTTTTAATACTTTGTAACCAGTGTGATGAGTTCAAGCTTTTTTAATCAAAAAGCTGATGTCGTACAATTTTTCGAAGTCGATCAAAGTTTTTTAATTATATTCCAGCTGGTAAATAATAAACTACAATGATTTTAATTTATTGTTTTATTCAGTGAAAAGTTTCTTGATAATCTGTACGATCACATCAATATTGAATATAGGTAAGGTAGGTAATCATTTACAATTCTCAAATCCTTGACACAGTTCTGTCGAAGTTAATAAAGTAGTGAATGTTCATGTATTATTGAATCAAAGCAGAATATGTCACGCAAGAACGTAATCATTGGTTTCATTACAAACTTATCGACGTACTTTTTGATGAACATGTTATAGGTCATGTGTACATGGTATCAACTTGGTCTATCGTTTCCTGTCTATGAATAATAAGCATTCCCGAAGGTACATACGTACTTGGTGTAGTTAAATTATAATTATATTCCAAAGCGTCAAGCGCAGACCACACCGCGAGGGAAGCTAAGTTGCGTTAGCTTAGTTTACGGTGTAAACAGATGTATGAAAATATGCCGCAGCTACGTGAGCTAAAACTAACTGTTACCTTCGCTCACAGTGTGGACTGCGCATCAAGCTTTTGACAGTCCTTACGGCAGAACAAAACCTAGTAAGAAGACAAATTTTAATTAACGGAATACTACTCCCATAGTACTTTGATTCTTGCTAGATTTTCAAGTATAAGTAGTTTTATTTGCACTGGTTCGTCTTCGTTTCATCTTTTAGAGAACAATAGGACAAGAGTGAGTCGTCTCGGTATCGCACGTGCCATCTATATAGTGCAAACAACTAGTTTAAATGCTTAGTTGGTATAGCGTCTGGCACGGTAAGCTAGAAGACGTCGGTTCGAATCCGGCCGGATCGAAGGAATTTTTTTCTGAGTGTTCGATCTATGTATTAATAATTATAACAAACTAGTGGAGTAACTTCACAAAAAATAATTGAGTATCAAGTCAATAAAAATTTAGAATAGTTTAAATACTTTTACACATTGGCACTAAACTTGATAATCTTCGTGCGTAAATAATTTGTTGAATTAGAAAAAAAGAATTGGCAGTCGGTGTTTTACGAAGGTAGGTAGGTACAATCATACTGACATTGAAGATATTATTAGTTTAATATTTGTTCTAATATTTTAATTATATTTATGAAACAAAATAAATTGTATTTCAAAATTTCTAATATATCAATAACCATAAACCTAGCAAACGCTTACTGTTTTGATTCTGGTTGCCACAAAGTTATAGTATGAAATATGTAATAAATAAGCTACGATCCTTTTTGTGACCGACCTTTATTTTGTGTTTTTGGGCTGTCCTGTAAAATTTTGTCGAAAATCACATATAGGTTTGATTGTGAGGCAACCGATTATCTACACGAGACTGGAAAACGAATTAAACTGTTTTTGCGTGACTGGTATTGCCTTCTTTCTTCCAGTATTCGTTTCCGAATTTCCTAATCGTTTGAAAAACTTTGGTCAAATTATGAAAACAATAAATTTATCGGTTATTGGAATAAGCTATGCGAGTAGATTCTGATGACAAGTGTAAACGCGGCAAGTGAACCCCTGCGTTGCGGCTACATTTTGAATAAAATTTGTGTAGTTGTTACAAGCGCGTGTTGGCATAACCTATCCTCTGAACCGGCCCTTAATCCAGGAGGTAGTATCCCGTTATCCACAATAACAAGGAAATAATATGTAATCCACACCTAGATTGCGTTATGAGTCCACGTATCCGGCACATGTATGCGTATGCATTTATTTGCATACGATTAAATTATTAGTAGGTATTACACACAGTTAATCAAACTCTGGCCTGCAGGCAGGTGCAGAAATAAAAGGCCGTTTTCAGGAAACTGCAATGCTAAATTGTATTCATAGGTAGGAACGTAAGTAAGCCACTTATTACATTAAGGTAGGGTAATTTTCAGGTTGTATATCATCGTCAAATATTAAATAATATTTCTAGTTATTACACTCGAATATATTTTATAGTATCGAATGATCCGAGGAACACAGTCCGATGTGATTATTAGCAAGAAGAGAGAATAAGCACCTTACGAGAATGATTTCGTTATTCAAAGTAAGACATTTGTAAAGGTGTTTTGAGAATTAATATATCTTATTTCGTTTCGGAAATATAAAATCGAACAACGGTCGATCTGATATACACAGCGAAGAACGAATGAAATGTCACTATTTCCTGGAAACAAGCAGTCTTGCACATAGATCTTTGTTCTACGGATAAGTCGGTATACTTCATGATAATATTGTACAATATTGAAATAATATTATTTAAAGTTGTAGATACCTCGTACTATCAGAAGTATATAATATAGATACTTAGTAAATTAAATCTAAAAACCACCACCATTATCCGAAATCTCTGTATCCTTCTACCAGCGCCTCGACGCATCTCATTTGAAAATGCACGGAATTTTTCAGCATCTCCAACTTTCTGTCATAAGGAATTTAATATTTTGTCGATTCATTCCAAATTGTCTTTAGTACCAAACTGACATTCCTTAATGTGCTCTAAAATAACAACAACCGTGTCATCATCAATTTTCCCAGCATTTTTCAAAATTCCAACCAACTCCGTCAGTGTGAAGAGGGAATGTAGACTAACGCCATTTTCTTTTAGCACTCTAGCGCCACCTTGATCTCGATCAAGAACCACTACGGCATCAGTAACTATCAAACTTCGCTTTGTAAAGTTCCAACTGTTTCCAGCAAACTGCCACCAGATGTCACTACATCCTCTACAACTAAGCAAGTCTGGTTTTTTTCGAAGACGCCCTCTAAAATTCTTTTAGTTGCATATAGCTTAGTTTCCTTTCTTTTCATAATCATTGGAATATTTGAATTTACTGACATGACTGCAGCTAGAGGAAGAGCTGCGTAAGGAACGCCGCAGAGAATGTCATAGCGTAGTCTTGAAGCCAATTCCTGTAGTTCTTGAGCTACCGCCATCTGTGTAGAAGAAATAGAAACTTCAGCAAAAAGTGCGAAGAAAGAAATGTCCAGTCGATGCAATTTGTATTTGCACCGGGAGAGGACGATTTTGTATTATTTTGTGTCCACTGAAGATGAGCACTGTAAATTGACCCTTTTTTTGTTTAAATAGCAATTGTATGATAATGTGACATGGACAATGACACACACACTGAGAGAGAGAGAGATAGATATATATATAGTTCTTTTTTTATTACCAAGTGACGGGCCGAACAAGTCTTGAGGCCGGTGGTAAGCGACACGCCTACCCATGCAACTGCAATTCCAATCAGAGCTTTAAATCGCATAGATCTGAGGGGTACTGTCATACCGGCCGTCTCCAGAGGCTTAAGTTGAAAAGTCCCATATGCCTGTAAATTCACCAGCACCCTAACCCTGCAAAACCGGAACGCGGTAATACTTACACTACTGCTTGGTGGCAGAAATAGTAATAATGTGGCGGCAGTGGGTATGTACTTCCCTGGACGAACTCAACAACCACCAACAAGAGCCTAGGTCTAGCAAGGAGAAGAACAATTGTTTACTTGTGAATCAATTTATAATACTCAAGCTAGATTTTAATTTCAACTTGAGTGATATCGATTCTTTATTACGAATATGTCATTCTCGAAGTATTTGAGAATTTTCTGTTATTTATAAGTTTAATGAGGTAAACAACTGATACATATTGATACATATTAATAACTTATTTATCTAATTATTGAATAATAATTTATTTAGTCAAGTACCCTTTTCTTTATTTGATAATATTATGCTTAGAATAATAACGTATAGAATGATAGTTTCATATCAAACGAACCGTCACAAGTGAGGCAAAAATCAAATTCATGTAGGCTAGTTTTAGTAGTAGGTTAATTTTAGGTTTTAGTGAATATTTATATAAAAATATAAGTTGAAACGCGTTACTTCATTGTGGAATGTGATGTTAGTATCTATTTTATGTTTGTCTGACGTATTTCTACTCATTTACCGCACATTTCGTCATTTTTAGCTAAAATTCTGGAGCTGTTCGCGGTGCAAGTTGACCTTGAGCACTGACGGCCCGCCCGCTCGTGTAAGCCCATTGGGAGCGTTTCAATTTGCCTCACTTAGCGTGTGCGGACTAGGTTTCTATGCGTTATTATTCTAAGATATTATGTATAATTTGGAAAATAATTTAATTTTAAACAGCATTCGCTTTCTTCTTTTTAACTGCCTCCATGCTGATCTACCACGCACTGGGAGAAATATTTGTATGGCCTACATTTAATTTTCTCTTTAGTTTGGGTGTCATTTTTTAAACTCGTGTGTATTTTTTGTTTAATACGCATTCGCCATAAATCTACCAGCTCAACCAGGCAACAAATAAGAATACTCTACATTAAAATTAGTCAACATTAAAACTATAACAACAAAACCCCGCGCCATTTTGAAAAATGGAATGTATGTATATGTATATGTGTCACGATTTTTTTAACGAATGTCAGTAGTTATTATATAAAAAAGCAGTCTAAGTATCCACTACATTATTTATATTCCTTGAAAACCGGTCTTCATCAAGCTAAAAATATTACAATGAGATTTATTATTCCACTGATAAGAGAGGCGACTGAGAAGGACAGCCGCTACGGTTATTGCCAATTTATGGATTTGACACATCGACGAAACTGATGACAAACATAGATAATTTGGGTCAATGGAAGTTTGAGAGTCGACGGCGAAGTTGTAGCAGCCGTTAAAATAGTAGGTACCTTAGAATAATAACACAGAAACCTAGTCCGCACACGCTAAGTGAGGCAAATTGAAGCGCGCCCAATGGGCCTACACGAGCGGGCGGGCCTTCAGTGCTCAAGGTCAACTTACACC